TTATTTCTAAAGATTGTGGTAATAGCACCTCTTTGCCTCTGTCAAGCATTAGTGAGAAGCAGTAGAAAGATTTGAATCCAGTTATTTGCCAGCAGGAGATGTGCTGTATCATTAAGCTGTCGTTTCCACTGATAGGTTATTATCAGCAGGTAATAGGAAATGTGCACCGTTACAAATTTCCTGCTACAGTAGATGAGTTGTGTCTTCCATGGCAGCACTGTGGGATCGCGTGGAGAGCGGTGTCATTATGGCTGGGATAAATCACAGCATACATTTTTAATAGTTAAACAATTATCTATAGTGGCAGAACTGGAAAATTGTTTAGTAATGATTGGTTGATTTTTATGATGGAGAATAATTTTATGTGAATCTTTTTATGTAAATACCTGAAATGCTCAAAAGAAGAACATTTATTTTAAATGCATACCTGGGCACTTTTGGGGGTTATGGAGCACATTTATCTTTAACTGCAAATGCTTCAAGTTCTACAAACCATCAGAATAGCTTTCCACATATATTTTTACAGTTTAATACTATATATATGTGATAATTTGTGTTATATAAAGATATTGTGTAGGTGGGATAGTAAGGCTAAAACTAGCCACTATTAAATCCTATCTAGTTTTGTTTTGTTTTGTTTCTATAAACTAGAAGTAAAGTATGGCTTGGCCTGTGGAGTGAAGAAAATGTTTCCTTATTGTCTAAGAGCTAAATCTCTAAGGTTTTCCCTTTTCTCTGTCTTTTTCCTTTCACTTGATTCTTTTTCAATTAGTGCCCTTTCAGTGTTCTTCAAAGCTCAGCTCAAAATTTACCATGTAGAAAAACCTCACCTTGATTGTCTCAGCTTTCTCTCTGCCCCTTATTTCTGCTTTTCTAGATTTTTCCCTTTTGTGGATAAGTTTTATAGTGTTCTTTGTGAGATTTGAAAACCCTCTCAAGAGTTTGTCTTCCCAACTAGACCACTGCAATCCAAGTTATAAAATGTTTGTGTTGTTGGTCTTTGACTTGATAAAGTCCCTGCATCAGCCTGTCAAGCAGGCACATCATTAACCCACGTTTGGTTTGCCTGACATTTTTCTTATACTAAGACTTTCCTTAAGAAGGAATTAGTGTGAGCTTTATTCATTGCACATGGACACTTCAACAGCATTGGACTAAGCTTTAAGGATGTTGATGGCTACTAATTGTGTTGCCAGTGATATGGGAGGAAAGGTAAGGCCTTGATCATAAGGGATGATGTGACTGTACATGGTGAGGTGTAATTTCATAATGGAAATAAATGCTCACAGCGAGCCAATATTTTTGAGTACTTGCTGTATGGTAAGGTTTACTCTATACCATTTGTATGAATGAGCTCAATTAAACCTCACAATAACCCTATGAGGTAGGTGGTATTTCCTCCATTCAACAGATGAAAAACTGAGGCCCTGACAAACTAATTACCTTGTCCTGAATGTTACTGTTAGTTGCTAATCTGTATAACAAATCTAGATATGTCTGAAATTAGGCTTTATACTACATCTGGATCAGTGCTGTTCAATAGAAAAATGTGTCCTAGCCTTGCTATGTCCCAAGATGATAGCCACCAACATGGTAGCCACTGTGACTTTTCAGTGCTTGAAATTGGCAGGTTCAACTAAGGAAGTGAATATTTAGGTTTGTTTTAGCTTAATTTACTTAAATAACATACTTAATTTTAAGTAAATAATTTACTTAGATTAAGATAAAACAAATAGCCATATGGAATTAATGCCTCCTGTGTTTGATAGTATGGCTCTGGAAACTTTTAACATACTGCTAACTAGAGGATTAGTATGAGGAAAATTTGAAGAGGATCCTTGGAGATAATGAAGTACACAGTGAAATCAAGATTAAAGGACTGAGTGTAATGAGAACAGGATACAGAGGAGAATTCAAAAGAGAGCAAAATTCTAAGCCTAAGGGCTGTGTCTAAAATCAACTTTCAAACTTAAACAAAAATTTTTTGCAAAAATCTTAGTGTTTTTGGTTAGCACAAATCTTCATACAGACTCTTTTGATTGTACAGTATAATAGAAATGGATCAGATCAGAGATTGTTAAAAGTGAGTTTATCCCAGGATGTAACAGAATAATGTAATCTTATACCTAACCTGCTGTGTGAATTCTGCCTCATTAAGCATTGTGCCTTGTATTATTGAATTATTTTGTTGGAACCCAGTTCTATATTTTGGAAAATTAATGGTATTTTCTTCCTAAATTAACAAGAATTTTCTTTAAAAAATCTAAAATTCTCATAATGTTTATATTTGTCATCATATGTTTATTGAGTTTACTCAATATATGAATCTGTAAATTTAAAAAAAATTTAGTTTTAAAGCAATGAACTCAAAAAAGATTGTGAGAGAAAATAATGCAATATAAATAAACACAAAATAAGTTGATTTTTCTCTGAATAATCGTTGACTCTTTTGACTCGCCCATAACAAATGGTATCTAAGGCTTATTTATGTGAATTTGGTGACATTTCTGAAACTCCTACCTCATCACATATATACTTATCCAGTTGAAAAAGTGTCAGATCCTGTAGCATTAACATTGTTTCCAATTACAGTTGCCCTTCTGTACTTGTGTTCTGTGTGTCTGGCTTCCACCAATCATGGATGTACTCCACAATTAGGACTATCACAGTTTATTTGTATTGAATAAGTACAGACTTTTTTCTTGACCATATTTCTTAAGCAATACAATGTGACAGCTTTTTACATCACATTTACATTGTGTTAGAACTTATAAATAATCCAGAGATGACTTAAAGGATGTATAGAAGTTATATGTCATTACCACTCCATTTTGTAAGTGACTTGAGCATGAGTGGATTTATGATTCGGGCAGTGAGGTGTCCTGCAGATCCTGAGGATTGGCGCATTTTATTCTCCAGCCTTTCCTCCATGTTTTCTAGTTCAAGTTAGACCCACGGGATCAAAAGAAAGAAAAGTAGGTGTTCTATTTTGCCTGCCTGCTGACATTCTCCCGGAGGTTGGAGACGGAGAGGGTGTCTTAGGGTAAAAAAAAACCAGTTATCTTGACTTACCCAGACCAACCATTGGTGTCTCTGTGGGAAAGGTTTCCAAAACTGTAGTCTCCTTCAGGCCAAGTGTGTAGTTCTTCTGCACACCTACAGTAGCCTGTACACTGATCCAGTGACCCACATCTTCTTGCCAATTTGGTTCTTTTTCCTGGTCCTATAGATCACCAAACTTGATGGCTTAGCCCTCTAGTGAAAAAGCAGTCTTGATTCAGGGGAAATACACACAGATTTACTGGATCAAACACTGGGGGAAAGTCTACCTTTCTCCCATTTCTTGTTAAACCTTTGGATACTTATGTTTCAGAACTGATCAGCTATCCTTGCTGACATGATGTCCAACCAGGCTAATGATAGCCTATGTTACACTGCTGGGGCTGATATAACAGAATACACCAGAACGAATGATTTAAACAGTAAGAATTCACTTCCCGTATTTATGGAGGCTGGGAAGTCCATCAGAATACGGCAGCTGATTTGGTTTCTGGTGAAGGCTCTCTGCCTGCCTGGTGAATGGCTTCTTTTTGTCATGTCCTCGTGTGTCAGGAAAAGAAGGAGGAGAGAAGAGAGTTGAAGATGAGAAGGAAGGGGAGGAGAGGACAGGGAAGCAGGAGCAACGAGCCAGGTCTTTGGTGTATGCTGTAAGAATATTAATTCCATTAAATTGTCTCATTCTCATGATCTCATCCAAACCTAATTCTTTTCATCAAGTGTCATCAAATCAGATTGCCCTGGAGGTTAGGGTTTATCATGTGACTCTGGCTTGGTGGGGCTCAGTTCCATCCACAAACAGTCCCTCTTTTGGATTGCTGGGACGGTAATAGAAATAAGGTTTATTTCTACCTCTGAGTTAGTCTTGGAGTAGATGTCTCAACCCGGTTACAAAACTCTCTTTAGAATTTTCAACAATGTATATTTTTTTTAATCTTTAAAACATTTCTACTGACCAATTCTAGGACAAGAGTAAAGTCACATTCAAGTTTCTTAAGATACCTTTCCCCCTCACTGTCTTGAATTCTGAGCCTCTGACAGCACCCTGCTTTCTTCTGTCAGTTTCTCAGTGAAGTTTTTCCAAGACTTCCATCTTTCCCATCCCCATGGAATTAAGTCCTCACACTCTGGTGTTTCTGGAACTTTCTTCAGTCTCCTCTTAAAACACTCAAAACTTTATTTAGTTGTTTGCAGGGTTTTCTCCACTAATAGGTGAGTTGCTTAAGGGTTAAAAAAAAACAGTCATTAAAGCATATAGCATAAGTTCTTATGCACAGCAAATTTTGGTCAAATATTTTTTAAAATAAATAATTCAGGAAGATCCCATATCATGGGTGTCCATATATAATGGTAACTGTTTTTTGTCTAAAATTATATCAGGTTTTACCTATCGCAGTGATGGTTAGAACAAAGATTATCTAAAACAAATTATTGTTGCTAATATAGGTTCCTTAATATTATGAGACATCTGGAATTTGGCTATTTCTTAACTTATTTTGTAAATGAAGGTTATGCTACTTTTAAAAAATATAGGCTACATTATAATCTATTAATATATATTACTATTATTATCTATTAACATGCATTAATTACTTTAAAAATCACATATACTTTGCAAATGATATGTGTGTATGATTTTGCACTATATTACTAAGTATCTCATGGAGACTTTGTTATTCTGTGATAAAAATGATACTTGTTTTACTAAGGAACTGTGTGAAGAATTAGCATTTATGGTCAACATAGACATGAGTTAAAGTTTGGGAAACTCTGAAAACTGTAGAAAAGATTCAACTAAAACATTCAGTCTTGAAATTTGAAGCTTTCTCTCTACGAGTCTTCCTATCATTTATAGCTTAACCAGGTAAGCCAGACATCTGAGGACGACCGGATTATTTGGTACCCAGTTTTGATGTTGTTATCCCTGTCTTTGCTCCCTACAGAACCCAGCCCAGTGTAGGACTAGTTGGCTCTCTGCAGCAATGTCTCATTGTGTTCCATGCTGGTGACATCTCCCAGAGCCTGAAGCCCATGTCAGCAGATAGCCAGCCTACCGGAGGTCATGTACGTAATGTTTTAAAATTATACCTCAGCATGTAGACACTTTTACATAACAGAAATAATAATAAGTAAGATGTGGCAAACCAGGCAAACCATGCTTACAATTTTAAGAAAATGAGCATCATGGTTGGAAAAGAAAATGGCATGTATCATCAGGGGTTTAAAACATTTTCCAAAGACAAGGGATATTGCATAAAACAAAGACAAGTGAATTGCTATTTTTCTTAAAAGAGCCAACCAGGAAATATTTTAGGCTTTGCAGTCCAAATGACTTGTGTCATACATAGTCAACTCTGCCCTGTCACTGGAAAATAGCCAGGTTTATGGATGGGTATGGATAGTCCTATTAGAACTTTATTTCAGAAATAACTGGCAAATCAGTTTTGGCCTCTGGATCATGTTTGCCAGCCCCAGGCATATAAGGTGAAATTCTGTATCTCATTTTTTTTGCTATAATACTAGGCTAATTTTAAAGGAATGGTTTGTTTCAAATTACATAGCAAATGCTGTTCAATTACACAACTTCTGCACTAGCTGGATGATGTAAGGAAGTCAAGAAGAAATGTAAATTAGATTGTTTAATGACCAATTGTAATTTCTGAAAACCATTTGAGAACAATGTAAGATGAAGTTCAATCTCAAGGACTAAACAAAATAAATTCACAGAAATGGAAATCCAAGCACCTAAATTCTTATTGGTAAGTGCATACATTTTTGCTTCAGTTTCAGTTTCTCCGTGCTGCTTCGGACAAAATTTTGCAGGCTATATAATTTTGCAGGCTATATATAGGTCAGGATTAACAGTGCAGTAAGTAGACGGGTTTACAGAAAGTGAAACACTTTACAAGAAGCCTAAAAACAAAAAGGTAGCTCCACTCTAGCTGAGTCATATTTTTTTGTACCAGAAAATAACAAAGGAAAAAACAACAGATAAAAGTGTAACATACTGTCAGTAATTACCCATAAACAAAACCTAACCTTTAACTCCATCAGCTTCCTTGAAACCACTGTATTTCCTAGAAATTTTAATAAGAATTCTCTAACTCAGGGGCAATTTCCTGGCAGTTTTTTGGATATGTGCATGCCAGGAGGGCAGGAACATGATGTGGGGCAGCATTTTGGATGTGAGTTTTTATCAACAGTAATATAGTTCTGGGTTGTCTTGTGACCGTGAAATAGTGATGGAGATGAATAAGCATTATTTCAAAAGATTCTTTCATGTTTCATTCTGAGGGCAAAAGTTACAGCAGGGGAATTTTCTTGAAATGAAATCATCCCGGGAATATGTGAAAAATTTAAGCAGGAATCTCCCCTAGCATGTCAGTACAGAAGCCAAAAGAAGAGTCTTAAGTAATTTGCATTTTTCTTTTTATGAATTCTCTTTCATTCCTGGATTTTAGTTTTAGTTTAGTTTTAGTTTCATCCCTGTATTGTTGGCTTCCCCATAGCTGGGACAAAATACCCAGCATCCATCGTTTAGAGGAAAAGACGGATTTTTGGGTTTCACTTCATGGTCCACTGGTTCCAAGGTATGAACCTTCTTGCAGGGAACAGCTACTCTGTTCCTGGCAGCTGGAAAGCAGAACACAGGGAGGAGAGTGAGCTAGAGATCCGGCGTCACACCCTCAGGGACCTCCTCCGCCTGGGCTGTTCATCTTGGGCCATGCACATCACTCAGTGAAGCACATGTGTGTAGAGTGACCTCATGACTCAGTCAGTTCTCCAGGAGTCTCTTGATAAAGGCAGGTTGACAATTAAGATGAACTGGCACAGTGTCTTTGGTCAGGTGCTGAAGCACAGAGGAGTATTGACTGGTTATTTTGTGATGAGCAGCGATGGTTTTCCCATCTAATGTAAGAGAGGGGTGATATGTAGGTCAAGTAGAACTGGAGATCTTAAATGTCTCTTGAATTTCTGTGGTGAGGACATGTAATCAAGTGTAATTTGTTTTGTGCAGATCCTTGCTGTTATGTAACAAGGGCCCAGAAGGACATAGTTCACGCAGGCTGTTTCCTCCAAAGCAGCTCTGCGTTTGGCTCATTGGCTGGGAAACATTGTAGTCTCTGATGAAGAGACCTTGGCTGTGTGGCATTTGGCTAACCGGATCTCACTTGCAGTGATTTTATTTTTTCTAACTTCCTAGAGATCAAGTGGATTTGTAAAGCAGAGTTTGGGCATAGGAGAAAATAAGAGGGATCACATCTGTGTGTTCTCACTCAAAGCTTCCTTCTTTTATATTTTAGCTAGAACTGTACTCAATGGCTTGGGTGGCTGTGTCTCACCATTTTAAATTTTATTTGCTTAAAACTTTTTGTTCATTTTTTGAGGCAGGATCTTTCTACCTATGTGTTCCAGCCTGGCCTTGAACTCACTATGTAACCTAGGCTTGGCTCAAACTTGTAGTGATCCTCCTACCTCAGCCTCTTGAATGCCAGGACTGTAAGTCTCTGTGTTACTATGCCCAATCTTGATGCTTTTAACAGTATTTCTTGCTTTCTTTCTGATTATTAAACTAATATGTGCTCATTACGGAAAGAGTTAAGACAACAAAGAAGTGTAAAGTGGTGAAAATATCACCAGTTATGCAATTACTAAGAAGCAAATTATTACATGATTCTTTCCAGGGTTATTTTACATGATTGATATAAGAAAAATTGCTTTGTGGCTTTATTTAACAGTAAACTGTGAGATTTCCATGTATCATTGCATAAGTAAATATACTTTAATGCGTATATATTAAATTAACTTAAATTTATCATTATCATTAATTTGTCTGATTTTTTGATATTAAATATTTTACTTTTGTAAATATATTTTTGAATAAACCTTTGTCTATATATCTGGAAATTAGGATAGTTTTCCAAAGTAGCTTTTATTTTAGCTAGTCCATTGGGAAGCATAATAGCCTAATGGGAAAATAATAGGAAAATTTCTTAGGAGCGTGTGTTCATCAAGGTTCTCCAGAAAAGCAGAACCACTATAATATGTAATCATATTATTATTAGGTAATCATGGTTATTAGGTTATTTTACATGGTCACAAAGGTTAAAATGTCCCACATGGACCATCTGCATTGGCCCATTCTGGCCCAATGATGCAGCCCCAAATAAGGCCAAAGGTGTGAAAGCCCCTGCAGAACCGCAGACTGAGGAAGTTTGCTCTCCAGGGCTGAAGAACTTGGAGTTTGAGGTCCACAGGGGATGGTAATAGAAACTCACCAGCTCAGGAATGAGGAGTTTGAGCAAGAGCCGGCTTCTCATTCTGGCCTGTTTTGCTCCTTCTGGGATCCCAGAATATTAGATGGTGCTAGGTGCCCTCAGAGGATTTGCTTTTGTTTTCTGACTCACACACCTGGAAATGCCCTCACAGGTACACCCCGAATACACTTGATGGACCTTCTAGGCATCTCTTCAGTTCAGTCAAGCTGGCACTCAGAGTCACTGCAGCAAAGAATAAAGAGGTCTCGCATTGCAACCATGTTAAAAGTACTCAATAGATAGTCCAGAAAATATGTACACATGGAAAGCTCCCTTCATCTCTACGTGAGTCTTAGTAACAGTGCTTCCTCGTCAGTGCTGACACCTAAAAATCCTTTCTCTTTCCATGAAGCATAGAGAAGTTCATACCAAATATAAATCTGCTCTTTAAAACAACGTAGAAGATACAGAGGTTGAGGTTGGTGCTGGAGAGACCTACCAACTAGTTCTATGGCAAAACTCAGAGACAGTGAGATACCATAAGATCCAAAATATGCTCTTCATAGGCAAAGCAGCTGAATTTCATGACATTTGTGTAGGAAGCTTTGCTAGGGTCTGCAGAGGAATGGATGTGTGGAAGGAACTTACTGATGTCAATGACCACAAGCAGTAAGTCCAAAAAGGAAAGAGCTCTGTCCTGAAAGGGATAACTCCGAGTCCTGACAGACAGAAACAGACAAATGCCTAGACGGTGAATTTTTGGCCTGGCATTTTTCTCCTCATGTGGAAATATGGACAGGTTAACAGCTGTGCGGCTCAGCTCTGACCAATGAAATGGCAAAGGTAGCAGTGTGACCTTGTCGTTTTCTCCGCCTGGAGGAGACTCCTGATAAGACAGATTGTATACTTAGGTGCCCTTAGAAGTGTGTGATGTATAGGGCTTCTGTGCTGGCTTTTCTCTCCTGGTGTTTTTCCATTTTATTTCTTCCTGCTTTCCTGGAACTCTGCTTCTTATAAAAACACTTCTGTGTTGGATAATGATGCCAGGTATTTTCCCCTTTTAGAGCTTCTAACGGTGGATTCTAAGCTTTCCTTGCCTTTAATTTTGAGAAGTCTATTGTAATTCTGATGAGTCTTACTTTATAGGTGATTTGTACTTTCCTCTACCAGCCTTTAATATTCTGTTCTTGTGTTGAATTTCTGGTATTGTATTTATTTTGTGGCATGGAGTGTTTTTTCTTTCTTTCTTTCTTTCTTTCTTTCTTTCTTTCTTTCTTTCTTTCTTTCTTCCTTCTTTCCTTCCTTTCTTCCTTTCTTTCCTTTCTTCATCCTCCTCCTCCTCTTCTTCTTCTTTTTATTTTCCTGATTATGGCTATTCAGGGTTCTATTATGTCTTATCTGTGTTAAATTCTTTTCCATGTCTGGAAAATTTTCTGGTATTACTTCTTTAAATAGGTTTTTAAAATGCCCATTATGCTGTCTGATATTTTATAAATTCCAATTATACTTCTTTGTGCCATCCAGCATTTGTTGGACCCATTTTCATGTACTCTTGTTTTTAAGTGGTTCCTCATTAATTGATAGTTAACTGCAGCCTTTACCTCTAGATCTTACACTCTATTTTCACAATGATCATGTTTGTGGCCACACTTCCAATTATAGTTTTAATCTTGCTGATTTTTGTTGAGAATTTTTTATGAATTTCTTTGCTCTGCCTGGCATTTATGTATTGCATCTCTTTCTTTAGTTTCTTTGGATAATTATTAGCATCTTCTCTAGACTCATTGATCGTTTGTTTCACTGGGA